CGCTGCCTTTACATTTTGGGACTGGCCATGAGACAAACATTTCAATTTCACTTATTTTCTTCCGTGTTTCTTCATTATTGTTTTCGTTTGTGCTGTTGCCTTTTTATTTACATTGAATCTTAATTTTCCAAGTAAATCTCGAGTTTTTGGGAACCAAAATCTGGTGTTTTTGTTTTCATCTTTCTGCGCAGATGGTATTCATATTTGTAAAATTCTTTGTTTGCCCCTTAATTTTAGAAATGTACTAAGCCCAGGGGCCGGTGCTTCGCAGCTAGGCTGTTAAGAAACTAATAATTGCATTAATTCATCAAAGCATTAATAAATGAAAAAAAATTTGGTGTGGCCTTTTCAATCAAAAAAAAAAAATCCCTCGTTTTAACTAATAAACCATCTCCCAAAAATCCACAAAAGCATCTATAAACCAAGTTAAAGTTTTTCCTAGAACAACTGCCATTGAGTTGTTTTTAAGAAAAAAACTTGTGAATACTAAAATTAACCAATTTGGTATTCGGAACATAAAAAATAATAATTTTTTCTCTGGAATTTAGCAAAACTTTTTCAATCCTTTACAAATAAAGGACTTGAAAATATTGGGAAAAGGTCGAACTCCTCGGGGATCCACACGCTTCAGCTAAACAAAGGCCGGGGGATGTATATGATGAAAACCTTTGTTGCAAAGGAACTTGGATTTTGCATGCCCATTAGTTCCATTTGATAACAAGAAACTTAGAGAATAGCTTTTGGTATTGTTAAATAATGTCAGAGACGGGGATCTTCCTGGCTGAGAAATGCTTGCCAGCAAAAGCGAATTGCAGCGCCAAAAAGCCACTGAAAATGAAACGCTTAAGCTAATTACAAATGAAGTCACTGAATGATTGAGAGTTACTGCGAATGATGTAGCAGAATAAAAAATTGTTCTATAGTTGAGATTTCAGTAAATCTAGAAGTGAAACTATAGAACTATGAGTGCTTTTCCAAACCAAATACATGTTGCACCCGACAAGATTTCTTTTGCAGCCATTAGATATTATAATGGCGAATTTCCTACAAACTATAAAATTTCAGACGGTAAAAGATGAAATATATGCCTACCTCGTTTCGTGACAGTTCATATCACTTTTCCAGCCTGTTTAGACTTTAGATAGCAGGGCAGAGACAAGAGAGAAGGGATTGCAGAGGCGACTGGGTAAGATTTTGGTCCAGTTTTAAATGACGTTTCATTGTAGTGGATTCAAAATCTGGCTGATTTTGTCTCAGTATGGTGATACGCATTGTTATGCTGAGCTATACATAGCAAACTGAAATATCATTTAGATGGGGCATGTTTGATGAGGGGAAAAAACAGTGGAATTTGTTCAAATGCAAAGTCAATGCTGCAACAACAATAGTAGCACTAGATACTGATTTCCGACGGCAACCCTGAAATCTGACGCCGAATCCTCTCCTTGCTCAATAGCAAAGACCCCCTTGTCTAGGACCGATCCTCCATCATTGCCGGAGAATGCACTGCCTGGACAGTAGGGACAGGATGCTCAGCCTCCAACACCGCAGTATTGTTAAAACTCCCCCACTTCTGCACATACCCAGCAAGCACTCCTTTCACTTTCCATGCCTTTCTCTCAGCCATCAAGTACTTCCCTAACCCTTCCCATTCCATCGTCCTAACCCAGGCCTCAGCAGAAACCACTCCATCTCTCAAATCAAAATGCCCTTGATACAACAATACCTTACTCTTCCTAACCAAGAATTCCACCATATCTTTAAACACTCTGCATCACATCTTCACTCAATGCTATTCCCACCTTGTCGCTGCAATCTTCAAAAACCATGGATTCATTGGCCCTCAATGCCTTCTTTACTTCTGATATTCGCATCATTTTAGTAACTAATCCCTTTTGGTAAGGCAAAAAATAAATTTTATTGTAATTAATCACATGTAAAGCAGTTCAGTAACTAACCACGTGTGATTTGTGCGCCGCGCGGTGATTGCTTTGTCGAAACAAATAAAAAAAAATAAAACTTAATTTTAAATTAACTTAGTGTTAAAATATAAAACTAAGAAAAATAACTAAATTAAAAAAAAAATCCTCAAAAATTTCGAAAACCTTGATAAAAAAAAATCATGATATTTCATTGCTATAGTAAAATATCAAATTCTTTTAGTAAATATTAATAATATAAAAAATTTGCATTATTGTTATTTATTTCGCTCTCTCTCTATTTTTTTTTCCTTTGAAAAGCTGTAAGTAGGTAAAATAAGCCCTTAATTATATTAGTGGTTCTAGTTAAGTTCCAGAATTGGAAGTAAAACATTATTATAAAACTTGTTTGTTTTTTTTTGTTTAAAAAATATTTTTGAAAAAAATTAAAAAAAAAATATTTTTTATTTTAAAATAATATTTTTTAGTGTTTTTATATTATTTTGATGTATTAATATCAAATATATTTTTTTAATAATATATTATTTTAATATATTTATGAGTGAAATCACTTTAAAAAAAAATATCTACCATATTTCTATATAAATTTACAAGGTATTTTTCTCGCAGATTTTCTATTGTGCAGTTTCTTATATATCATTATGAATGGAGAAAAAAAAATTTAATTTGATGATCAATTTTTATTTTATAATATAATCATTTTAATCCCAAGTCAGTGTCTCATTATTTTTTTTTAAAAGGAGATGGTGGAGTTGAAAAATAGAGTAACAAAGTAAAAAAAAAAAATGCAAATAGATGGTGACATTAAATTACATATAAAAAAATTATTTTGATTCTTATTTTTTTTTCTAGTTTATAAGTGGTCAATCTTTTTGTTGTCGGAAATTTAATTTTAATATTAATTTTTAATTTTTTAGTTTATTTTAAAAATTAAATTTTATAATTTTTATTTTTATTTTTATTTTTATAAAGTTATTATGATCTCATGAGTCATGATGCAGGCTTGACAAGATAACTTGGGTTTACTATGATTATTTTTTCGGTCCACATTCCATGATGTTATCATGGTGTCATATATCGATTATGAGTTTTGTAACTTAACTCAAGTTAATCTATGTTATTTTTCATATCTTTTTAATAGATTTTTTTTTAATTTTATCTTTTCTAATTAAATTGATTAAAATTAAATTTTATAATTTATTTTAATTTTTTTTATGAAATTATTTTAATCTCATGATCCGTAATGAGCATGTTAGGTCAACTCCAATTATTTTTTCTCAAATCAAAATGCCCTTGATACAACAATACCTTACTCTTCCTAACCAAGAATTCCACCATATCTTTAAACACTCTGCATCACATCTTCACTCAATGCTATTCCCACCTTGTCGCTGCAATCTTCAAAAACCATGGATTCATTGGCCCTCAATGCCTTCTTTACTTCTGATATTCGCATCATTTTAGTAACTAATCCCTTTTGGTAAGGCAAAAAATAAATTTTATTGTAATTAATCACATGTAAAGCAGTTCAGTAACTAATCACATGCGGTGATTGCTTTGTCGAAACAAATAAAAAAAATAAAACTTAATTTCTTAGTGTTAAAATATAAAATTAAGAAAAATAACTAAATTAAAAAAAAAGATCCTCAAAAATTTCGAGAACCTTGATAAAAAAAAAATCATGATATTTCATTGCTACAGTAAAATATCAAATTCTTTTAGTAAATATTAATAATATAAAAAATTAGCATTATTGTTATTTGTTTCGCACTCTCTGTTTTTTTCCCTTTGAAAAACTGTAAGTAAGTAAAATAAGCCCTTAATTATATTAGTGGTTCTAGTTGAGTTCCAGAATTGTGAGTAAAACATTATTATAAAACTTGTTTGGTTTTTTTTGTTTAAAAAGTATTTTTTTTTAAATTAATTTTTTTTTTATTTTTTATTTTAAAATAATATTTTTTAGTATTTTTATATTATTTTGATGTATTAATGTTAAATATAATTTTTTAATAATATATTATTTTGATATATTTCTAAATAAAAATCATCTTAAAAAATAATCTTAATTTTTATATAAATTTATAAGGTATTTTTTTGATGGATTATGCGGTGTGTAGTTTCTTATATATCATTATAAATGGAGAAAAAAAATTAATTTAATGATTAATTTTTTTTATAATCAAATCATTGTAATCCCAAGTTAGTGTCTCGTTAATTTTTTTAAAAAGAGATGATGGAGTTGTAAAATAGAGTAACAAAGTAAACAAAAAATGCAAATAGATGGTGACATTAAATTACATATAAAAAAATTACTTTGATTTCTATTTTTTTTTTAGTTTATATAAGTGGCCAATCTTTTTGGTTGTTGAAAATTTAATTTTAATATTAATTTTTATTTTTTTAGTTTATTTTAAAAATTAAATTTTATAATTATAATTTTATTTTTTATAAAATTATTATAATCTTATGGGTCATGATGCAGGTTTGACAAGATAATTTTGATTTATTATGATTATTTTTTCGGTCCACATTTCATGACGTTTTCTAGGTATCATGTATCAATTATGAGTTTGATAACTTAACTCAAATTAATCTAAGTTATTTTTCATATCTTTTTAATAGAATTTTTTAATTTTATTTTTTCTAATTAAATTAATTAAAATTAAATTTTATAATTTATTTTTTATAAAATTATCTTGATCTTATAATTCAGGTAATGAATATATTAAGTCAATTCTAATTTTTTAATTAATTACTTTTTAATTTTATCATTCAGCATTATTAATTAAATTTTATAATATATTTTAATTTATTTTATATAATATTATTATAGTATTATAACATGTGGATGAAATGAATTAAACTAAGTTAATTTAAATTTATTTAATATATTTTTATTTTTTTAGATCAAAGTATATTGTATCATTAATTAAAGAGCCGCTAAAACTACCGGTGATATTTAATCAAACCTTTATGGATTTTTTTGCTACAGAAAAAATAAAATTATTAGCACTACCTCAATTTTTTTTTTTTAATACGACGTACAGCGAAGAATGGGCCATCAAATATGTTCCTCCTCTACTTTGAAACACTCCGGTGCTGAACAGACGTTTCGAACAGAGTTAAAAAGGAAATAAAAAAATGGCAGTAGTATTTGCCAGAGAGTGTCAAATACCATGAACAAGCACTGCATCTCCTTTTCACTTCTCATATTACGTCTACAAATTTCGATCACTTGTCATTAATAGAAGCTGCATTTTTTTTTCTGTCAGGTTGTGAGTTTGCAGTCTCAAAACTATCATATCAGACCATGCACGCAAGATGTTCGATTAAATGTTTCTACTTGTTATTCCTTAACCATATCTGGTGTCTCTTCACCTTGCAGTATAACTTATAATGCCGATGCTCTATGATGGGTTTAAAGAAATATTAAAGATTCAAAAGCTTCGCAGAGTCGTTTCTTATACTGGTTTCTATTGCTTTGTTGCTGTCATGAGCTATGCTTATACAACCAATACGTGAGTCAAATGCTCTCTTACTCAAGTCTACAAATGCAAGTGTTCTGATTTCTTTCTTTTTTTGCGCTCCTTTTCTCAGGTTGGTTTTTATATTTAAATATTTTTGTCTATTTTTTTGCTATTTTTTTTTATGGTTTTCGTTCTTGCTATATTTGTTGGGTTTCTTGTTTTTGGGTATTGTAAAACTAAAAAAGCTATATCTGGACTTGAATCTCAATGCTTATTTTGATTTTCTGTTATTACCAGGGATTAGTCTGTTCATTTTGGTTCTGGAGTCACACACACACACATTATCTGGACCTTGATTCTATTTGTTTTTTGGATGTTGTAGAACTAGAGCTGGATATTCTAGAGGTGACCAATTCTATGCAGCTTATCCTGCTGGGACTGAGCTTTTAACTGACGCCACCAAGGTCTGTGATCAATGATTGCTGTCAAATAACTTTTGTGGTTTTCACGTGCATTTTATGCTTGATTAGGATTTAAGAATTTTTATATGTGCTGTTTGATTTTTGTTGATGGCAGCTATATAAAGCTGCGCTTGGCAACTGCTTTGAATCAGAGGAGTGGGGTCCAATTGAGTACTCCATCATGGCCAAGCACTTTGAACGCCAGGGGAAATCGCCATATGCATATCATGCAGTAAGTTTCACAATGCTGGTAATTGAATACAGTTGTAGCTCATCCTCTCATCTGTATACTCAATATTGTGCTTGGGAGTTGAATTCTTTATTACACTGCATATATCATATAGTGTTTCTGTGCAAACGGATAGCCATGAATGACCTTTACAAGATTGGAGTCTCATCAATTTGCACTGATAGTGAAATTATTAAACTGTGCTGTCTTTCCAAAACCCTAAAAACTGGTTTTGTGATATAAGTTGTGTGACGTGAACTCTTTTACATTATTCCTTCAAATACGAAACAACAGAATGTACATCATAGCATGTAGTTTTCTGTGGATTGTTAGGTTGTCGAGATTTACTCTGTAAAGATACTGAAGTATAAGTATTGTTTTTGGAATAAATAGTGCAGAAAGGGGCAATTAAGAGCCTCTTCTACTCGTGACTGCATCTTTTAATACCAGCAGTACTCAATGGATTGGTGAATTCAGTTTGGCATTCTTGATAATGGCTCTTCATTTTTGTATTCAGAAAAGAAGGATATGAATCATGATATCAAAACCCTAAGAACACATATATAACGGTTGGAAACCATCCTGACTGCTCTGAACATCATGTTCTTTGCACATTGACAGGTGATAAAAGTTGAAGAATCTGTTGCTATTGAATAAAATTTCTTTCTTCAGCTATTATTTTAACATAGCCTTCAAGTTTTGACCCGAGAAAGAGAGATTCTCGTCACAATTATAGAAGATATTTGGAGTCGATGTTTGGTAATTGCCAATGCTTCAAGCATTTGCTTTCTCTCTCGAAAAGATAATACCAATTATGAAAAAGTGGAAATTAAGCTTACCGAGTCTGCATTAACTTCAGCCTGAAAGTTCTCATGATATTTCTTTTTGTGTGTGAACTGACGTTCCTGTGCTCTTCTGCTTCTTAACCCATGTATTTATATCTTTATATTCTCGCAGCAATATATGGCACACCTCCTCTCTCACGGACAGCTAGATGGAAGTGGCTAGTGTAGAAATACTACAACACCTCCTGAATGAGTGAAGTTTCAACAGTAAATATGTAGAACTAAAACCATTGCAATATTTAGCTTGTTGAGTGATGAGAAGGCCATTGGAATTTCTGTCTTGGGATGCCAGGAACGCGTTCCATTTTTTTTGAAATGGAGCAACAGCAGAGTTGCTCATTGGGTCCATGTATTTGTTCTGTGTCACATCCTGAACCAGGTGGCTTTTTTGTATTTGTTCTGTGTCACATCCTGAACCAGGCGGCTTTTTTTTTTTTTCATCTGGTCTTTTCATTCTTGAAAGCTAGTACTCTGTCACTAAATGCAAATAGATACCAGTGTTCTCTTCTCTTCTTGGGGTGAGGGAAAACAGATCCTGTATTCATTCACAAAGTTTGTGGGAAATGAATTTATTATCCTCCTGTTTTGGATGAATCGGCAATAACTATTACAGGGTGAATGCAAATGTTGCAATTACGCGAGAAAAAAATGCCACTCTGTTCAACTTTTTTACCGCGCGTTGACATCAACACCTTGAAATTCTGGCAACGGATCAGATATGGTAGGGGTTTTTAGGAGTGCTGCAATAAATTAATTTCTAAAGAGTTTTTTATTTAGAAAGATATTAAAATAATAATTATTTAATTTTTAAAAAGTATTTTTGATATTAGTTTTTTTTTATTTTTAAAAAATATTTTTGATTTTAGCAATAAAAATTAATTTAAAGTAAAAAAATAAAAAAAAATTAATCTTTTTTCATTTAAAGTAAAAAAATAAAATAAATTTAATCTTTTCTTAAATACTTTTAAAATATAAAAACAAACAAAACAAAAGGACATAATTAGTAAACAAGGTTGTGAGGAAGGCTATTGCCCCCACAGTACCACCGCGCGCGCGCGAGGAAGGCTATTGCCCCCACAGTACCACCACGCGCGTGCATATATATAGTTGGTCCTCAAATCTTTGATAGATGGTACACCCTCACCTAGAATGTGTTTCGTGGATCGACTGAAGGTTTTCCATTGAGGGTACAGCAATATTATCAGTTTTTCCCAGTTCCCCGGAAGTGAAACTGCTGTCAGTTCATGCACAGTAGCAGAACTGCCCTGCCAGTCGAAGAACAAAGGTTCAAGTCCTCAAAAATTATGTGTTGTTAGTCAATAAAGTAATCTGCGTACTGTTACGGGCAACATTTGATGCAACTATGGATCTCCACCCAACAATACAGGTAGAACTTTATCTTAACTATTGTTGGAAAACCATCAAGGAAACATAAGCTAATAGCAGTCATGATTTCTAGGATTCCCTTCTTAACTCAACGATTGGAGCAGAACAGTAGCTCAACCTCAATCGTTAGCTTTGCTTGAATAAAATTCGCAACCATGTAAACAGGAAATGTAGTTTCATGCTGAGATTTGTCAGAAATGTTGATTAAATGGAAGGAGCCAGGGAAAGAAGCATGCACCCGTCGCTACCTAATCAAATACCTAGCGATCACAACCCTTACGGTTGCAAGGGCCAACCGTTTGTTGTTGTTGTTGTGTATAGAATCAAACAAATGGAAGGCCTCTCAAGCGATATAATAAAAGCTCAAAAAAGCAAGTTCAGCCACACTCCTTCCCTGCAGGCACCGGGAGCAAGTTTGACCTACAGCAGAACTCAAGCCTGTGCCTTCCGATATTTTCTCATACCATATCCATGCTGTTTAGCTTTAGCTATGCTTTACTAACCAGAAAGCAACTTGGCAATCTCATTTAATTATTGCAATGACCATGATTCTTAAACTTGATATTTGTATTCTGAAGCATTAGTTTAACGTCCTCCCTCTGAAACAAGACGTGGAGGAAGTTCTCTCTTTTCTTAGAACAACTATATGTCTGCCAAAATCACACATGTATGGTCTAATCCAATGGTAATGCCAGTTATATTTACTTCCTTGCATTAGACAGTTAGCCTGTTGTGCTATTACCAGTGATTCATTTACATGATTCGAAATTGCCATGAATAACAGCCAAAGATTCTATCAAATCCAAAGCAGTAAAGAGAACAGCACTAATGCAGCTCTAATATCATTTAAGGAAAACAAACTTACACCAGTAAAGAGAAGGCATGCAGGAAAATGAAGCAATCCTATTTTCAGTTTGTCTGATAAAAAAGTACAACATTATACATGTGGAACTGTCGCCTAAAATAAACCAGTGACCAGCTATTTAATTTCCCCTGCACAGAGAGGAAACAATAAAACGGAGATGCATACCATGTGGGGGTATATTCTTCATGCCCCGCTTTTTGAGGCATGATTTTCACATCATTTGTAGCATATGCAAATATTATTAGAGAATGCAAGGAATAAAAGTGTTAGCGGTAGTACATTTAGTGAGGAACATACCAAGTACTAACCTATGCTAAAACCTCCAGCAGTTTGTTAGCTGAATAAATTCATGCTTTCTGAACCACCTTCCAGTAGATACCCTCCAAGATGTGCGAGTAGGATCCCAATATTGATCAGAGAGCATGTACCTGGCGATCATTTCTGATTAGTCCCACAGATGTTGAAGAGCAAATGCTGTCACTTTTCAACAGAGTACGTGGGCTACACTTGGGTTTGGTAGAGCTGGTCTGCATGGCTACAGCATTTCGGTTAGCAGATTGTAGTTCTTCAGTAGCTTGCGACGTTTGGGGGCTCTGCTTAGCTGCACGAGAAAGAGAAGATGTACTGCGCCTTACAGTATTCTCGGTTTCATCAGCTGTGCAGATTCGCTCCCTACAAAAAAAGAAGGGACACAAATAAATATAAATCATTTGATCAAGTAAACCATGTAGAAAAAGAAGTGTTTCCACCACATTACCTAGGCAAGGACGTTGCATGCTTCCTGTGGTAGGGGCTGTTTCTATCACTCTTACCATCTCCTTCCTCAAGATGAGCAAATTGTTCCTTAAATCGATCAACTCCACTGGACAAATGAAATCCAAATGAAATAATAATCAACAACTGCTCTTTGAACAAACAAGGAGAAATCATGGTATTATCAAATGATGCAAAGTTCTGAACTAATGCAATTAATAAATCTAATTTGCAAATGATATTTTCATTTGGAATCAAGCTTAAAATTGTCTCTCACACAAACTTTTACTGCATAACATGCTCTGCTACTTTCTCATGCACACTAGCAATCTTGTTTGGTATCATCATTTTTGTTGCATGCTAATAGTGAAATGGATCTCTGATCTCCATAACAAAGCATCAACTGGGTAATATCGTACCTAACAAACATGCTGCAAGAAAAGAAAGTATCCGGTGTTTCCTTGAAATTCCAAAAGGAAATTAGTAAGTGCTTATCTCTCTACATATAATAATGTTATCGACATCCTAGGGAAATTGATTGATGTTTTTTTAATGACAGCTACAGCAGGTAAGCTAATCACAGATTTGGGCAAGCATGACTGACTCTAAATAGGGTGTTCCATTGTTTTATGCACGTGCATTTTCCTTTTTCATTTCATTTCACTGTAATAACATTTTTGTTATTGACCTTGGATACACAAAGTGAGTCTGATCTGTGCCCTGAAGGTACTCCTTCAGCATCTCTGGATGATACTCCAAAATCTGTTTAATTGAAATTAAGATAAATCACAATTCAAAACTAAGGAAGTAGGGTACCACCAAAACAAGCAGGGTAGCAAAACTTAAGCAAGCATCACCCAATATCGTCTTACCTCTCTGTAAATTAGCTCTCTCACATCATCTCTTGTCAATTTCCTCCTTTCAAATTCAAACTCAAGTTTTGAAATAGGTTGTCTTGAAGGTTCTTGCTCCTTATCTGCTAGCCCGTCAAAATACAGATCAGCTAAAGCCTGGAGAGAGAATAGAAACCAATATCAGGATTCAGGATGGAGCCTGTATAACTCTAGATAAGAGGATCAAATACAGATCAGCTAAAGCCTGGAGAGAGAGTAGAAACCACTATCAGGATGGAACCTGTATAACTCTAGATAAGAGGATCGTGAATAAAAGGGGTGATATAAAAAAGTTCTATGTTAAACTATTTTTTTGCTAAATATTACCTCTTCAGCAGATGGACGGTCTTTAGGATCAAATGCCAGCAACCGCTCAAGTATACACAAAGCTGATCGGTCTACATCTGGAAATTTTTTAGAGAAAGGAATTGGCTGCTTTTTCCTCATGCTACTCAAATACTTCCTAGCTTTTTCATTCCCAACCTGCACGTATCAGACAAAAAAAAAAAAAGTGATGAGAACAGGGGCATAACCAGAATTAGGAGAGGCTGCAGTTTCTAAGATAGCAAATGAAATTGATTGAGAAAGGTAACAAACTCGTGCAATTGTATCTGCAGCAGGAGTGCCAAGCAAATCAGTTATGAGTTCCAATTGATGCACCACATTTTTTCCAGGAAATAAAGGTTTCCCCGTCAACAACTCTGCAAATATGCATCCTATGCTCCAAATATCAATGGCAGGAGTGTACTGCAGAACACAAATTTTAAGAAAAAATGTCAAACAAAATCTTGAATGCCAAATGAATAATGGCACGAGCAATGCAATTTAGGTCACATCCAAAAGAAGAAAAAAATGAACCATGGTGCACAAAACATTATTGAGCATTGGGAAATGCTGGATAGCAGATGAAAAAATGAACCACCACAATGAGCATTGGGAAATGCTGGATAGCAGATGGAAAAATGCAAAAAATGAACCACCACAGTTGATCAATCTGTCATGTCAAACTATAGCTGCAGAAAAACTTCTTGGTTATCTGACATGATTTTCTTAACCAAATTCAAATTTCAAGGATAACAAGCTGCACATTGATGCGATAGATGATGTTGAAGGGTTGCAAACTTTGCCGTTTGAACTTGTGGAGGACATCTTTCATTCTTTTAATGATATTGAAGGTGGGAGGGGTTCGAATTAAAACCAATTCATCTACATTCTTGTGCTCATCTCAAAAAATTCTCCATAGATAATTAATTAGCATAGAAACCTCCAAAACACTAAGCTGGGTTGAAATAAAAAAATCAATAAGTAGACTGAGCAGAACTTAAAAGCTGGATTTCAAAAATAACACATACCGACAATCAGTTTTATTTTATTTTTTTCAATCATGAATGCAATAATGAACTCAGTAAGAAGGAAAAACAGTTCATATTTACATGCCTTGGAGGAAAACGAGCCGC